TCATTTTCGCTTTGGCCAATCTTGAATCCTAATATGTTGGTGTGCTATTAGGTATGTCATTGTTGTTTATTATGTTTATTTGGACAATATCATAATGTGTTTATTGTGTTCGCTATGCCCGAGCCAGAGTTTGAAACCTCCTTGGCAAAGTAGCCTACAACATGAGAGTGGTACTAGAGGCAAAAAAAAATTAGTGAAAATGCAGACTACACAAATGTGAGCGAAGATGCAGAGGAAACAGAGTAATGAGTGATTAACAATGACAATAAGTATGAGGTTGGAATAAAACATGTTGCCTGTAATAGAATTAGGATTTTATGAAGAATTTAAAAATGAAAAGATAATAAGATTTTTTTTACAATCGTAACACAATGAAAACGATATCTATAGTGACTTTAAAACTCACATAAAAAAATACTTTTTAACTACATAAAAAGTTTTTGTTGTACTAGTGTTAACATTATGAAGAATGTATAACGTTTAAAAGTGATTTTAGCAAGTATATAAAGATGTATACAAACTTCTTACTCTAATCTTGGTAAAACATATTCTATTTATTATTGATGTTGTAGTGTGGGATGCATTATTTTGAAAGATGGTGATAGAGTGAGAAGAAAATTGATAAACACTAGACAAGTTGCTAGGGGATTAGAAAGGAATATTTGGAAGGATGAAAAGGAATTAAGAAAGTTACAAAGGAATTTGAAATTATTGAGTTTAGAATGACAAATATGTGGAAGCAAACAAACAAGCCTTTAGGCCCTCTTTCTTGGTCTCTATATATGTGTCTAAGTGTCCCTTCACAAATTCAGGTCAATGCCTCCATTATTCACCATTTCCTTCATCACTATTACACCCACCCTTCTTCATTCATTGCCAATCATAAAATTACCCTAAATTCCTATCCAAATATCATTAATTATCATCATTAGACTGACACGTGCCATCTGTTTCATAATAATATTTTAATTAAGCTTCTTAGATTATGTACCAGGCAAGTGAAAAAGGAAATAAAACATTGAAAATTATAATATCTACTTGCGTGTGCTATTAGTGGTTGCATTAAATTGTAGGGAAGAGTTTAACAAAAGATATGATAATTACGTCTTTGTAACCTACACACACCATGAAATTCAAAACATGTGAAAAGACCAACTAAACCCTTCGTCATTTCAAGAACTCATGCCCAAAAATCACGGAAAATAATTTTTTTTTCTTATGAATATAGTGATAGACAAACTTGAATTCTTTATTGGACTTTTGGTAAAGGTGAAAAAAGGAGAACATTTCAACCTATTTTCATCTAATATATATGTTTTTGATCGGTTAAAAATAAGTCAAGATAGACTAGTTCGTAAAAAAAAAAATTTATAACTCACTTCATCGATGAGTGAATTGTCAGGTTAGTCTCTCACTTTTTTAAATGTTTTATTTTTCATTTTTTTATATAAAAAATAAATATTAAAAACGTATTTAATTATATACATACTTTATAAGTTTTTAATTGATTAATTATTATTTTCTTAATTAAATAAATTAAAATATTACATTTATATGTTAAATTATCCTATTATAACTAATAATTGTAACTTAAGGGTGTGTTCTTTTTGGTGTATTTGGGGGAGATGATTTGAATGGATTTGAGTAGATTTGAGGGTAATTTTTTAGTTGTTTTTTTGAGTGGATTTGTGGTTAATTGAGAGTGGATTTGGAAGTAAAGTTTGTGAGAATAAGTGTAAGATTTGATTGATGTGATAGATTTTAAAAATTAGTTTAATTGGTAGAAAATAAAGATGATCAAAATGCCCCTAGTTATAAAAGTATTATAAAATATTATTTTGTAATGTTATATTTAATTGTAGAGATGTTTATAAAGAGAAAAAAATTATGAATAATTTATAAAATTAATGTTTAAGCTAATATGGAATAAGCTGTAACCGGTTACGTGAACCTGTAACCGAATACGCCATTAAGGCAAATTCTTCATGAAGTTGTAACCGGTTACGCCTCCGTGTAACCGAATACGTCTCCCAGTTCCAGAACCTGCAACTCTATACGTACGTAATTCAGAAAATACGTGCAGGGCATATCAGTCTTTCTATGCCATTTCATCGCAAATCCGCGCACCTAAGGCAAGATGATTTGAACAGTGTATTCTCGCAAATCAGCGCTTTTACATCCGACCAAATCCTCGCAAATCGGCCCAAAAGAACAACGATGTTCTTCTAAATCAATCATCGCTAATCCACGTGAACAGAGAAATCAATCCAAACAAACACAGCCTAAGTGTTAATGATTTAAATTATTACATTAATGTATATTTACATTTTAATAAAATATAATAACAAAAATTAATCTTTTAAATCGTTTTTAATTTAAAAAAGGTTACGAAATAGATTTTAAGTGTTAATGATTTAAATTATTTACATATTTAAATTATTTACATTTTAAGAAAATATAATAATAAAAATTAATCTTTTAAATTATTTTTAATTAAAATAATAAAAAGTTACGGAAATAGATTGACTTGTCAATTTGACAGATTAAGCGAAATGAGACAAAATCTATTAATGGATTGAAAATTTCAATCTAACCCATCATTTTGGTTAACCAGTTTGAATCGATTTTATATTGTAATTTCTTGTTTATTGTATTTTCAAAATATATTATTCACGTTAATTTTTATATTTTAAAATATATTAAACAGGATTATAACATACTACAACGTAAAAATGTATTTTAAATTTTTTAATGTTCAATAGGACAACATAAAAAAAAAAAACCCAGTTGTCGACATCAACTTAAAACAAGAACACTGAATATTGTGTAAATTTTAGTTATAGTTTTGTCTCCTTCGAATACTAGAAATCTCTGCATTAATCTATGAGTAATCTTTGGTTATGCAAAATGAACTGCTTCTTGAATGTCACAGACATGGTTTTTGTACTCAGAAAGTGATTACACATGTTGAAAGCATTAGCATATTGTTAACATCAGAATTCAACCCTAATAAATGCAATTATGATAATTATTAATTAAAGAGAAAATTGTAACACAAAACTCCATCTTAAATACTGAAAGGGATATACATGCATAATTAAAGCCCCAATAGTCAACTTTTTTTAAAATATTTTTTATATAGTACATCCACTTATTCTAGCTTAATTAAAGTTGGGTTAGGTTAAGTAAGAACATATGCTACTAAATCCGTATGTATGTCTGTGTCAGCTTTAAGCATCACGCAAATATATACAAGATTTTTCATAACGCCCAAGCTAGAAGCCAAGCCTTTAATTTCTTTTCACTTTAGTTTAATTTCTATGAACTCATCAGGTAAAATTTTACACTCTCAATTAATAAAAAAACATGATATACTTAATAATGAATTTTAAGTAGTGTTACACTGGACCAATCCAAATTCAACAAATTAAAATAAATTTAAAATTTAATCTGTTTAAATGGCCGAATTTTAATTTTAATCTAATTTAAATTACTTTAAATCCATATGATCTAACAAGAAGGAGATTCATCCGAGAGATATAAACACCAATGACATCTGAGTCCAATCATATAAAGAAGACACTACTCTCTGTCAAAAATCTTAAGATAATAAGTTAATGGATCTTTCATCTTTATATAGTGATCTATTTTCTCATTTCTATCCAATGTGAAACTTAACTCATATTTGAATTTCCAACTATTACATGTTTTAAGTGAAAATGTTAAAGAATTGAGAAATTTTCTTTTGTATAATAGTACCATCTATAGATATATAAATTAACGCTTGCAAGTTAACAAAAATTTCGTATTGCAATTTCTAATTAGTTAATCTCATAAAAACTCAAACATTTTCTGTACATGTACTGCTACTCTTTCTTCTAGATAGATGAATATGCAGTAGTCAAATATGTAATAATTTTTTTTAATTTTTTTTTATTTGAGATAATGAACGATAATCATGTTTAAGTAAAGTTATTATAGGCACATAAACCTTCTTTTAGCATTTAGATTTAGAAGACAAGCCTATTTATTTATCCAGTTTGTGTATTATGTACTGCAATGAAAAAATAATGTTATGTACGAGGATGATTTTTAGCTATTTAGAGTAAAAGTTGACAAAAATCATTACATATTATAATTTCCATTTAATTTAATATAAAATTTATTTTGTTATCCAACAAATAAGATACACGGAAACGTGTATTATTTAAAAGCATAAAAAAATATTATTATTTTGTTTAGAGTAGCAAGTATCACTGTGAAAGATAAATTATAGTTATTTTTGGTACAGAGATGATACTTTGATACACAAGTTTTTTATATTAATTTGATTTACATTTTATTATTTTTTACTTTTTTTTAAAATAATAATATTTTGACACACATAAATTTTTTACATTCATTTTATATTATCCTTTATTTTTTACTTTTTTTTTTTTTCGAAAAATTACAAAAGCTCACTCTTTTAAAACTATTTTATCTCGTTAAGTGTGTCAAATGAATGTTAATGTGTGTCATAATACTCTTATTCTTTTCTATAATCATTTTATTCTTATAATATACGTCAAATAAATGTAAATGTAAATATGTGTGGCTCTATTATTACTTTTTCATATATTATTGTAGGAGGAATTAATTAGAGTAATGGGAACAAAGATGATGAGAAAGAAGAGTGAGGATGTAGCAGCAGAAGGAAGAGTGGAGTTTCTTTTTTGATTACTCTCTTTAGTGTTTAATATATTTCATCCGTCCTCTTTGGAGAAAGAAAAATCAAACACAGCAAAACTTGTCCCAACTTTGCCTATGCAGTTTTTGCGTGTATTGACTACGCAGAAAAGAAAAGAAAAGCAGAGTTAATTAAATAGAAAAAAAGAAGAATGAAAAGAATTGTTGGAGTGTCACTTTCCTATATATACTCTCAACTCAAGTTAGCCAGCAAAAAACACTCTCATCTCTCTCTTTCTTTCCCATTCCTTTTACATTTTTTTGTTTATATTATATGCACCACTACACATCTTTTTCTCTCTCTCTCTCTTCATAGTTTTGTGTACCTGAGAAAGTGTCTTCTCTTTCAAAAATCTTTTTCATATATTTCATCACTTTGCAGCCCTTCAATTAATCACCTTAACTGATTCATATTCTAGCTTCCTCTTCTGTTTTTGGGGTTCTTCTCTGATAAAATATATCAAATTTCAATCTATAGTGGAAGAATAAACATATATATGTATATTTAAGCACCCTTTCTCTCCTTTCAAATTCTGAATTCTTCATTGGTTGAGTGTGTTTTTCTTTTTCTATTTTGGTTTTGTTCCATGTGTTGTTGCTAGCACATCATATACTATAGATTGAAATCATTTCTGGGAATATAGGTGATTGATAAAATGCCCCAGAATAGCATTTTCCGAGACCAATCATCGAATCAGATTCCTGATCTTTCCCTTCACATTAGCCTCCCAAACAGTGCTCCTTCTTCAATTTACACTGGAGGGGATTCGCCCTTTGATACATGGCCACAACAAGCAGATGAAGATGACTATGCCGAAGGCTTCAAATCCCACAGTGATGGTTCAATCAAAGGTTGTAGCCCTTACCACACAGATACACAACTTTCTTTAGCAAACTCTACAACTGCTTTCACTGCTACTCCCTCTGAGGCTGACAGCACCTGGAGGAAGAGAAACTTTGTTAGACTCAGCCATCATCATGGGGTTTCTGATGGTCAAATAAGACTCATCAATGGAATCCCTCTCTACAGTAACCTTTCATCTTTGGACAACACCAGTACTGCTCCCTCAATAGAGAGAAGCCCCACCAACAAGTTTTCCTTTCCTTCTCTATATTCACTTCCACACCCTCCTTATTCTGCCAATTCTGCTCCTAACTATAGCTATAATGGTGCTGTTGGGGGTGTGGCAGCAGAACCAATCTCAAGGTTTCATGATATAACCATGGAGAATACTCCAAGGCCCCAACAGTTTCAGTACTTTGATTACCCTCAGCAGCTGCAGCAGTTTGGGAATAGTACAAATTTTGGAGCTTCTGAATTTTCTAATGGATTTGTGAGGTCAAGAATGTTGCCAAGGCAACAAAGTAGTAAGAGGAACATGAGGGCTCCGAGAATGCGTTGGACTAGTTCTCTTCACAACCGCTTTGTTCATGCTGTTGAACTACTTGGTGGCCATGAAAGTGAATCTCTCTTCCTCTTCCTTTTTACATAGATATGTGTGTGTGTGTGAGAGAGAGTTTCTGTACTGTGTTTGAAGAGTCATTAACAATAATATAAAATGGTGTTTAAAATGAAAAATTACATATCCAAGATGTGAAATTAAAGACAATAGTATTGTTCTAGGTTTTGCCGTGTTTTGAAGTGTTGTGTTTGTTGGATGTTAGGGGCTACTCCTAAGTCAGTTTTGGAACTAATGGATGTGAAAGATCTAACACTAGCTCATGTGAAGAGTCATTTGCAGGTATATATGACTTACACCTTACCATCATTTTCTTATCCTCATCTCCTTCTTCTTCCATGTAAAACAAAATCACAGAAAGAAAAAAGCTTTGTATTTGTATTTCTCTTTCTTTCCCTCTGTGTTTTGTTGCGCCTCTGTGGAGTAGGGTAGTGTGTAGACTTTGTCCAAGGTCTATCTATCCAAGGGGCCGCACAGGAACCGAGGCATGCAGTGAATGAATGAATGATGAACAGTGGAAGTTGTTGTTTGATGCAAGAGGAACATGACAAGTTCTACTTTTCATGAGAGAGAAAGGCAAAGAGATAAAAGATAGAAAGAGAAAGTAGGAAAAGTAGCCATCATTTCTCAATAATAGAAGCAATTACTTACCTTACCAAACATCAACCTCGTGGTTATTAAACAAACAAACCCACAAAAAGAAGCATCTGATTTGATTATTTTCTCCCCTTTTTTATTCTCCTTCAAAATCTTCTTCATAGACAATTCAGATTTCCCATCTATCATTGCTCTTTCTCTTTTTTAATATATATAAATTTCCATTTCTTTCTATTATATTAATCTCATCTGTCTTTTTTTGTTACTGCAGATGTATCGGACTGTTAAGAACACTGACAAACCTGCACCTTCTTCAGGTAATTCATATATAATTGTAATTCTCACCCTCGCAGCTTGCAATATTTTACCTAATGCAATTCCTTGATTTCCGCTCCAAATTTTTTAGCTCAATGTTTTCAATTCCTATGGAGATTCCCTAACACTAACACCCCTTTATGACTCAGACCCTCTTAATCTATATCCATTAACTAATAATTTCTTTGTGTGTATAACATGTATGTACAAAAGAAAGATTAATTAATAGTGTGTCTATGATGATGATGCGATTTTGAATTATATTAATGCTTGATTACATTTACATAATGCAATAAAACAGATGGGGATGAGGATTTCATGTCCATAACAGTCCCAAATAATCAAAATAAGAATTTTTTACCCAATCAGAGAGGAGCTCCAAATGCATCCATGGATCATGATATGGGCCACACTTCCAGAAATCTATGGGCTAATTCTTCTACCAGGTAATCTCTTTCTCTTTCTCTGAGCTGTATGTATGAAAATGTTTGAAAATAATGTCTCAGTGTCACTGTCTGCATGGGTGCATGGTGTTGGATTTTCACTATCTATGCAAGTGTTCATGTTTTAAGTTTTGAGTTTAATAATTGAACTTGGGGAAAATCTGAAAGTCCAATGTACACCCTTTTGTGAAACTGAAAAAGTGCTTCTCTCTGACAACTTTTGCTTTTCATTTATTTTCTCCACTTCTGCTTTCTTTCTCTCTTTCTGAAGATCAAAGCAGCGATTCCTCATTTGGTTGATACCCCTTTTTGATACAATGTCATTCACCCTCTTTAAATGTGTAGAAAGCAAAGTTTCCTGAAACTAGACGAAATTTAGTGGCTATGTGCAAGTGAAAATATACATGGAGGACCTATTCTCTCCACTGTTGAATATGTACATTTATGGATTAACATTCTACTTTTAGAACAGCATATTTCTATGCTCTACATTGACTTATGCAGTTTCTTTCTCCCTTTGGCTATTATCATGCCATCTCTTAATGCACTTGCTTTGATCACAATTCAGTAACTAACACTACTTCACAACACTATACCGTTATCCAATTAGGCTTTATTTCTATTCCAATTTTCCTTTTCCTCTTGTTCGTACATTTGGTATTTTAGCTTTATCAAAGATTGATGCTTGGTACTATAGTTTCTAATTCAAAATTTGAGTCAACTAATACGACAAAAAGGGCTAAGAACTTAGGTGTGGAAAACTCCTACTGTGAGTACTAATCACAGAAAAGACATTTCTACCGAGAATTGCAATGCAATAGGTAGAAAACAATATCCTTAGTGGAAGTGAAGGTTCAGATATACAATTCTCAAAAAGTTGTCATTCAGTGATACAACATAATAATGCCTTTATGCTATGATTAACTTCTTTTTTGGGAGGCTAAAAATGTCTAAGATTTCAGACACAGAAAATCAAGCAAAACTTCACACTATTCTGGTTTATGACAGTCCCAAATGAGTCTGCTAATTTGCCTAATACACAACTTAGTTTGTATGAGATCACATGAAATCATATTATATATATATTGATCACTTTTAGCTTCCCTAAGTCCTGAAAATGGTGGTCAAAATTTGAGTTGGATTCTAATGAATTTAGCTCTGATGTTGTCTCGGTCCTCCCGTTTGTACACTGCAAAAAAGTTCCTTCAAGTCAGAAAGATAGACAGTGAAGTTGAATTCTTTGTTTCTATTTTGCTACACAACTCATACTTAGAAGAGAAGTGCTGGTACAGGGAGGTTGAATTTTCATCACCTTTTTTTTGTAATTAATTAAGTTTTCTGAGATCTATTAAATAAGTTAAACATGTTTCTTATTTAGTAAGAATTAGAAAATAAAAAGTTGAAATTTATTTTACTGTGAAAATATACCAGCAAAATAATACATTTAAGTGCACAAATTATACATTTAGAAGAGAAACATTATAATAAGTACAATATTTTCAATTTTCCATGCTTTTTTTAAAAAAACTGTGGTATTTGAGAAGAAAAGAACTAAGTAGCAGAATTAATTAGGACTATTTTTTTATTCATATAAATTTTATATATAAAATTTCCTATGAATAAAATTGCATTATACTAGCAAATTAATATGTTTATAAATGTGCATTAGGGTGGCATTCTCATGTTCAAAGATGATTTATCAGATAACTCAAGCATCTTTAGACCAAATACATTATTGATTTAGTGTAATTAAATAAAATCAATAATTTCATTTGGAAGGATGAAAAATGAGTCATAACTGTATAAGTATTCTAGGTGATTAATTAGGATTAATTATTTTTATTTTAATCTTGATCATTCACTTAAGATTGAAATCCTACTTTTATATTCTAATTAATGTTTGTAGAATTTTTATATGACGGGGACAAATAATTAAATTAAAATTTAAAAGAAGATTCAAGTTTAAAATATAAAATCATATGACTTTTAAAAATAATCATGTTTTAACCTTAATCGTTAATTAGTTATATTAATCCTTTGTCTAAACTATTATATTGTGAACATGTGTATGTAAAGGTTATAATTGTAACTTAATATATAGTTTATTACTAGATTAGTTGATGATACGAGTCTTTAGTAGAGAAGTGTTTATAAGTTGAGTTGAAACTAATCAATTTCTTAAATCCAAATCCAACCTAACTATAGATTGAGAATGATTGTTTTACATAAACAAAGAAAAAATAATTATTGAATAAAGAATCAAACTAAATGGATATAAAAACTTTGAATTCAAATGCTACACATATTTAAGTTATGTTTTATTAATGTAAAATTAAAAAAAGAAGTTGTTTTATGATATGTATTTTTAAACAGTATTTAAAATAAATTAAATATTATATAGTATATAGTATGACATTGGTCAAACTAATTGAGATGCAAGTCAAACCCACCTGATAAGCTACAAAAGCCTAGTTAGGTTAATGGACAGCCTGTTGCACCTAGCAATATATTGTAATAAGATTAATTTCAACACAGATTTTGAAAAGAAATATTTTTTTTATATAGTAAATTTATTTTCCCATTTTAGAGAATTAGAATCTATTTTTTGTATCGACATTATAAATAAACTTAATTACCTGTGAAAGAATGAAACAGACACAATGAAAGCTTCCAAAAAAAATAATCTTCTGTTTGCTAATTTGTTAGAAAGGAAAGAACAATGAAACAAAACATAAAATAAAGTATTTTTAAAAATTAAAGTTTATTTGATTTCTAGCAATAATTAATTTGATGTCACTTTATAAAAATACAAGTAAAACGGCAAGAGATCTTCATGAGTAAATTACACACAATTAAACTTACATCACATAATAACTTAAGTTTATAATGATGTATAAACACAAGCTTAACCTTATATTAAATTAAGTTTTATATATAAACTTTCAATAATAGGGTCCTTCCCTATATTACTATATTTTACTATTTTTATCTCCAAAAACATTTTCCTTGAAATAAAAAGTTGTTTCTGAAGAATTTTGATCTTTCACTAATAAGAATATAATTTCTTAAAGGATAATATTCTTAACAAAGGTATTACTAGATATTTAATTCTCCAGTATATGACATTTTCACACAATTTTAAAAATTTGTTTCTAAAATATATATTTTTTTAAAATCATTATTAATTTTCTCCCACTATCTACATCACCTAATAGGGCTTAATCAAATCGTTCTCAGAAAAAAATATTCTCTTTCTCTCTCTTCATATAGAGATAATTAGTGGGAATTATTTGAAAACAACTATGGCAGAAAGTAAACTTAAAAAATGCTTCTCAAACCTTAAAATACACATATTATACTTTTCTCAACACTTTTTTTTACTTAAAGTGTTTGAAACTTTTATGAATACTGAACTATCTTTTAAATTTTTCCATCAAATTTAACAATAAAATTATACCAATAGTATGATTTCATTTACAAATTCAAAGTCAAGGTTTAATTAAAAGACATAATTATCAAACTACTCATATCAACACTTACAGATTTAGGTTTTGTTTAACCTATCTTTAAAAATATAAAACTAATAAAAAAGCTCCTAATTCAGAGTTAATGGAGGATATGTTCTTGAATCAAACACTGACTCACAAACACACACATATGTTCTTGACTTCCTTTTAAAAACCTAGATTCCCTGTTGTTTGGTCTTTTTTCATTATTCCTTGCCGTTTCCTGATTATTTTTCTTACCTTTTTTCTGATAAATTCTCTGCAACAGAACTTTTATATTGTATAATACAACGAAATACATCTTCAATCTATTCGTGACATAAAATGTTGTAATGCATGAACAGAAACTAAAGTTTTTAAGTGAATATACATGTACTCAAAAGCTCTTAAACTTTATAATTTCTTGTAGAAATAACTGCATGCTGATGGCTTAAATGTAAGTATAGTCCTTTCTCTGATCAGGTACGAATGAAATAAATGCACATTGACCATCACAAGTGTTTGTTTTAATGTACTATAATGTTCTAATATCAGTAAACCTAATTATAAGACTGAACTTGTAATCTTTACTTTACCAGATGAAGAATATATACCTACTTTTGAAAGTTTTAAATGGAGAAAAAAATTTAAGATTATAAGTGAAATATACTTGTTGGAACATATTATATGATACATAGAAACGATACCTTTTTAATGTTTGTGTTGTTTGCATCATATTCATTCGAATTAGATCTTACGAAAATGAAAGCATAAAGTATTTTTTTATTCAAAGCAAATGTTCTCTGTATTTTATCTTCAAAAGTTAATAAAGTAGGTAGCATGTGGTCAGTGGAGTAGAGAAGAATTAAAGCTAATTCACACTGCAGAAGAACTAAAGCTGTACGTATACATAATTTCATAGAACCATCATGTTTAAATGTTGGTAATCATGACTTCATGGTCGTAATTAATTCAGCTCTTTCACTTCTTTCACCTCAGACAACAGATTAGTACAACTTTTCTTTTACAATAATGAAAGATAAGAAAGAGAGAGAAGTGAGAGATTGAATCATACAGTAAAAGAAATGGAGAATGAAAAGAAAATATTGTTCAAAACTCATAAGAGATTATCATATCTGTCTTTTCAACTAGTAAGAATAACATTAACAAGATATTTAAAAAAATCAATGGATATATATACTTAAAATTAAAGAAAAACCAATATATAAATATATAAGCTAATCAATATATATATATATATATATATATATATATATATATATAATATTGTATTTTTTTCTATGTAAATGTCTTTAAAATAAAAATTTTATATTGATTAAAGATAAAACGAATTCATACTACATTTAAACTTAGTGTTATAAAATTCAATTAGGTTTAAAATTCATTTTTTATCATGATATCAGAATATAATTTTAAATCTATTTTAATAAAATTTATCATTTATTATGATATTATCATCTATTAATATTTATTCTTGTATTCTAGATTTATATGTTTTGGTGTGAGATATGGATCGGACATTCACAGATACTTAGTCTTGTATTGTTTTTCCTTACCTCAATTTTCAGAAACTGCTATTTCTGTCTGCTTTATCCTCGTTTGTGTTCTTCACATACTGGTAGCTGCTTAGTTTTTCATATCTTAGTACTGTTATTATTTTCCTTGCAATATGTTAGAACTCACAATAACACAGTGAAATAACGAAAACAATAATTTGTCTAAAATAAAGATTGTGTCATAATTAATACGTTTGTCTGTGACATTAAACTTCTCAAAATTTGTTCCTTGAAATGACTCACAGTAGAGGAGCACGGATAGAAGCTAGTACACATGATTTGGAAGAAATCATAGCATCTCAGCATTCTGGGAAATTTTCTGAGGTTGTGACTTAATCATTTCACATCAATGATCTGTTGAGATGGATAAGAATAATATATATATATAGCCTGAGTTCATGAAAAACTACTTTGTGCAGGGAAACAACAACTACACACAAACAAGAAGCTTCAAGGATCAAAATCCAAGCTTGGAGTTCACCTTAGGGAGATCAACACAAGAATGAAAATGCCTAATTTTAACTGGTTTACATGATCACTTCATTACTAGCCAAAAATAGAAAAGATTAATGCACAGAATATAAATTAATTATAATATATAGGCAGTGCTTTTTCCAGGGCAAAGATGTAATGCACTTTCCAGAAATCTAAAGCATCTCTGTATATTCTTTTTGGGCCAAAGCTTATTAGGTTGTGTTAGTCGTTATATAAATGTTATTATAGTTAAAAGTAAAAGTTGAAGAAAAGAAGGAATCAGATGTATAATAAGGCCTTTGTTCCCTCTTTCTTTCTTTTTTCTCCTTTTTCCTTTCTTTTTTCCCTAGGTTCTTACAGATTTGTCCATGCACAACTTTTCTTCAGCCTCGTTTTGATTCTTGTTTGTGTGAAAGCTTGATATAGCTGGTATCTATCATTAGTATACTTTTGTTCTTTGGATTTTATCCTTGACTTGTGCATCATCAAAATTAAGAAAAACAGTGATGATTGTGAAAGATTTGAAGAATATATCAGTGAGTTTTCTTTCATGTGTATGCAGAAATCACATCTTTTGGTAAATCCTGCTAAAAAAAGGTGTTTGTGCTTATAAAAATTCCTGATACATGAGCTATGATTGGAAGATATCCACGTTACTTGATACTGTGATTTGCATGTTTGTGTTGTGATTGTGGCTTGCATTATGCCCCACTTATGAACTCCTTTTCGTTGATATGATATTCCACTGACTTGATGCTCTGATGGAAAAGCCAGTTGCAACAGCTGTAACCTTAAGTGAAGCATATTCAAAAAAAAGGTTACAATATGTGAGCATTTTGGTTGTTAGAGGTTTATGTTTCATCCTTTGGAGAATCACATTATAACTAATTATATATCTGTATTTTGCTGCATTAATTCAGATTATACTGTTGTTTTTGTAATTCAGATGCTGTAGTGTTTCATTTTTAAACCAATATAAAACTTAAAATTTAATTTTTATACACTTTCAGCATAGGTCGACATCTGTCTATTATTTTAAGAATACATCTTATATATGTCAATAATTTTAAACATGTTGATTTGTTAAATCTTTTAGATTATCGACATGCTTCAATTAAATTTTAAATTGAAAAATACTGTGATCAAATTAAATTTATTTCACTTATGTGTTTTTTTGGAGTGATTTATTGTAATAGGAGAGGAAAGAAATAGGCATGTCAAGGTTGTTTGAATGAAGTGATCTGAAGGACTATAGTGAGAGTTCAATCTCTTAAATTTGTTTTCCTTACATACCCAAAAGTGATTTATTGTAATAATAATAATAATAATATAAAATAATAAATCATATTTCATTTTAACATAATTTATATTTATTATGCTTTATTTTAATTTATTTTTATAATTAAATATAAAATAATAATATTTTAAATTTAATAATTAAAACATTTTTTTATCTATCAAATTCACCATCGTATCATTAACAAATATAAATAATATTTTTTTCATTTCTTATAATTTTTTTCTTAATCCAAATAACTTTATCTTTTTTTTAAGTTCAGAGATATATCGGTATGAATCATTAAAAATATCTGTAGTTTTTTTAATCATATAAAGAAAATTAAGATAACTGATGTTCTCACATTTTTTTTCTACTTAATATATTTATAGCATTTCAGTAAAATTGTTTTAAAAAAAGAGAATTAGGGTTAGTTTTAAGATATGCAGTAAAAAGAAAAAAAGATGTGGTGAAAGATAGGGCAAGTTGATGAAGATGAAAAGGTTGTGCATGATTGCATGATGAGAACATTAATTGCAGAATGTGAATGTCTGCATTATTATTTTGGCATGGAAGATGATGGAAACACAGTGAAAGGGACTGATAGCTCCACATTGATCTACACCACTCTAGGCCAAATAAATCATTCAAAATCACATATCACTACTTCAATTGGTCCACACCTTAATTAAATGCCCTTTGCCCTAGTTTCACCTAAATTTATTTATTTCATCATGCTTTTTTATACTTATTACATTCTTCAATAATTAATATATTCTTTTTTTTCTGGGTGTAGTATATTTTGAAAAAAATAATGTTTTTTGTATATACAGAAAGGATAAAAAAATAGGATAGACATAGTCAAAATCACATGCTTTAAACACAAAATTTAATTCCCTATAATTAACTTTTATCTATTTTTTTGGGTAATCTGTTTCTTTTTTCGAAATGCAAAAGTGAATTTTATGGTTTGCCATTTTTTGAAGATGGTGATTCTATTGAGAGCCTAAACCAAAAAGAAAATTGTTAAAAATATATAATTGGTATTTGTTTGGTGAGCCATTAATTTTTGTCTAATATTACATTTTCATAGTTTTTATCAGCAAATCCCTTTCAAAAAAAATTTCTAATAATTAGTCCTTTCATTTTGACAGCTATTTGACATTTTTAATTATTTTAACATTTATTAGTCAAATATTTTCGCACTCAAAAAATAATCACATTCAAATTATTCATCATCCATATTTTTTTATGCAAAATTATGATTTATACTAAACAATTCTTTAAATTATAATATAGACAGTTATTGTTGAAGGTCCAGTGATAAAATCAGTTTAAAATAGTAAATGCAACCTTATTTTACTTTTGTAAAATTGAATTAAATTTAAAATCTACTTTTTAATCATTACCAAAAAATCTAATAAACTTATTATCATATTCATGTTATACCATATGTTTGTTTTCATATAAAAAAAATCACGTTAAACTTCAAAACTCTGAAATAATACAAAATATTAGTTATGTATTTTTTTTCATCAACAAATATATGCGTGAGTAATTAAAAGATGACAATGTAATATTTTTTATTATATTTATATGCATTTTATTTCTTGATATAGTAACTTTAGAAGTGTTATGCATTACTATCAAAATGGACTCACTGTATATTAAGAAACCCGAAATTAAGTATGCAAATTTTTATATTCTTATTAAACATTTGTGTCGTTCTTAATGACGTGCCTCTTGTTTCTTGTATTAGAGGAAAAGAGAAAAATGGGCAAGAAATGAGCTTGAAGTCAGAAATTTTTAGGTCAAAAATGAAAAAAAATAATACCATATTTTATATTTTTTTATGATTTAATACAACAAGAAATCTCACATAAGTCAAGAAAAACTCCTTAAAATTTTATATATAATTATGCATTATAAAGTTGAAAAAGACTTGGTGAATTGAATGGGTTTGTGTACATAAAAACTCCTTCCACAAGTTAAAACCACTGATTTTTTTATTTTTTATTTTTCATTTAAACTTGCAAGGGTTGGACTTTGGTATGTGCATTCTAGAACCACAAATCAAGATTAAATTTAAGTAATTTGTGCAATATTTTCCACAGAATATTAATAATAATAATAATAATTTCTTTAACATAATGTCATTATCTATGTGAGAAAAATATCATGAATAGTCTCGGAAAAAATAAGGATTAAAACGTTGTAAAATTTTGTTGAAAAATTTATATTAATCAGAGATAAAATTAAATTATAATATATAAATGATTTTTTTTTTTACTTTTTCTTTATGCACCCCTCTAATTACTAACAGCACCTCCATAATTATTAAACCTCATTAATAAGGTGTTACAAAGACCAATTCCAAAAAAATTGGAGAAGAAACTTTTAAATTATAACCTATTTTAAACTGTGTAATATGAAATCTTTACAGATTGAGCAATGGGGAAGAATTAGACTTGGAGATTAAATTATACTTTAAGGATATTTTAGTCTTTTCGCTTTTAGTTGATGCAGATAGTAATTAAAGGGTGCAGATAGGAAAAGGCAACTTTTTTACCTTCCCTGTTTAGAGGCCCAGAAAGGGGAATCTACACCAAACAGCTCCTATATATTAAATATCATGGTTTCGATTTTCTACAATAAATTATATTTCAAGTTTAGAAAATAATAAAGTTGTAGCTTTCAGATTCTTCAAATAGTTTATTTTTCTTAAATATATATACTCCTATATTTTTTTATTATTAAGTCTTTTGTACAACTGCTATATTTCTTTAATATCCTGTATTTATTTCTCCCTTTTGTTCTTTCTTATCAAAAGTTTAATTGATCATTTAATTGAACTAATGACATCTTGATAAGAAATTAAGTGGTTGTATAGTATTAATCAATGTATCAGTATTGTCACATACATCTCTCACTTTTTTGCTCATTCTTTTCTTTCCAACATTCCTATGTTCTGTAGCAGAAAAATCTAAAAAGAACCTTAGCCTTAAATTATATCTCTAAAAAGTAAAAGTTATAAATAGTTATGTGGTCCAATTATAACAAAAACGTATTAAGTAAAACTACTAAATCTGATGTCAATCATATGTGTAGGATTGAATGGAAAGTAATAGCTTTTCTAACCTCAATTTGACTGTTAAAACAAGAAAAAAACATATATATTTAATACACAAAAGTTCTTCATCAATGCATTACGCTGAAACTAATACTCTCAAAGCATTAGTACAAGTGTACAAAACAATGACAACAACAATAACAACAACCTTATTTTACAAGAGATCGGTTACACTACATGGATCACAAACTGCAACAAACCAATCTTAAACCATCAGAGGGGTGAGTTTATTCCACATTGAACATCTTGTTGGCTAGATATTAGGGCCTAAAAGTGAGAGAAGAAAAGCTCTGTAGTGACCAGATGTTTCTGAGTGAACTGCATCATTCAGAGTCTTCTTGTGTTTCTTTGAATATTCTGCTTTGATATACTGCATGTCAACCTCTGTCCTTGTCACAATCACTCTTATCAGTGTGGAATCATCAGTCCCCAAACCTTTCATTGCCTTGTGCAAAACCTGCATGGTGGTCACATATTTTAAAAGCTTCCCTCATTCATATTTGAAGAATCAATTCCATTAATGTTGGCTTTGGCAAATCAAAAGGCATCATGATGAATATAAATAGCTTTAACCCATGACTCTGATATCATGTTTAGAAATAAACTTTAATATTAGTTCAATCTTACAAAACTGGTTTGCAATATGAAATCTACACTCACTTATATATTATGAATTGACCTTATCCATATAGTCGATATCCCAGATTTCCAACAAAAAGTTACAAGAATCCAAATGACTTAGCCAATACAATCTGCTTATTCTAAATGCCCTGGAGAAAATATGTTTGACAAACTTGCTCTGGAATGTCAAAAGGCGTTCTCGGTTTCTTTTTTCTAAAAATGCTGAGTTTTTAAAATGCAACCAAACAAGGTTGTTTACCCAACTGTTTAGGGCGTCTTTTAAATTCAAGGTTTTTAAACAAGGTTTTAAAACGCAACTACTGAGTTGTTACTATTTAATTGTTTAAGACATTTGCTTTGGAAACACTTTTCAAAAGTTGACAGATTAAGGATGGAAATTAAGTGCTGAGTATTATGAAATTGTTCTGTAAAAGGCTTTTAATCAAAAAGTAAGAAGGAAATCAAACAGGTACAGGTCCTAAACCTTTCAAAATAATTTCCTTCCATGTAACACAAGCACAATTTATTTTAAACAGTGAAATACATGTTCAACGTCATTGTCAAAATAATTCTTTCAATAAGCCTAGCATAAGTGTCTACAGTTAGTCATTGAACAAAAAATTGTTGAAATTGCATTGCAAGAAGCACTCATCAAAAGTTGAATACCTTAGCAAAGTACTTTCCAGGATGAATGGCACATTGGACAATTGTCAAAAGTGCAAGTTCAAACAGTCCAGATGTTTCATTCTTTATTGCCTGATAAATTCAGATTGAACAAACACAGTAAAAATATCAGAAGAAAGAGTAAATTCAATTAAAGAAATTAAAAATGATGAAGATACCTTCTTCAGAGAATGACCATACATGTCATGGTAATAAGCACTGACAGCAGCCAAATGTGCAGCACTCCGTTCACTGAATATGTGGATAAAGGACTTTTCATCAGTTCCTAGTTTCTTCTCCCCTGCTTTGTAAAGAACTTTTGCATCCTTCTGAGCAATTTCTCTGTTAACTTCAGGGCCTTCAGGACGAGGTGTGCTTATATATGCAAGCAACAGCTGAAGCAAGTTTCATACATAAAAGGTATCAATAGCAGCAGTTCCACTCTTCTAATTACTTGAAAGGAACTCATGGATTCAAACATGAAAGCAAACTAATTTGGAGAATTTTTCTGTCAGTAACATTTCTAAACTTATCTTAGCTAAAGAAGCTCATTTCGTTATTTTCTTTCAGTTTCTCTCTTAAAAAATGTTCATGCATTAATTAGTTTATCAAGGCATATCCTGAAGAACAACATCTTGGGTTGGTTTCATGAATGTTAGCAATAGAAATCTCACCTTTTGATGATCACTCCCGGGGCTGGTGTTTGCTTGAATATCATGCTCAAGATAAACACCAAACAATGAATGGTAGACCTGTTTTAAATACTGCAGCTGAGATGGAGTTCGTGAACATATAACTTCAGTAGCACCTTCAAGGCTTCGGATCTCTACCAGAGACTTCCTAATGATTGATGCATCACGTCCTGCAGGGTCTTTCAACCACATCAGAACTGCACTCTGATAAACAGACAAAAAAAAGAACGTATAAGACCAACCAGAAGTGTTGGGAAACATTTCATCCTCTATTATAAATTTTAAGACACATGATTTAGTTTTCTATACAAATATGTTTCTAGAATATGAATAATCTATCTATATGTCTATTTTTGTCTAAAACACATTTCTGCTCTTTCATCGGTTCTGTTTGGTTTCATCAGTTTATAACAACAATGAGACCTGAGCCAAATTTTAATCTAAAGTTTTAAAACAATAGATTTATGAATTTTCTTCGTTCAATATTATTATTTATTTAATGTCTGATTTAGACCTACACTTACATTCCTGACATATATGACACTTATGCATAAAGAATGTATTTTTGCTCTTTGTTTCTTACATAAGTTTATGGAAATTTTCCTCTGAACATGGTACTGTATTTTAATGATTAGTATACCTCTAACTTTCCACTAAGCTCTGAAGCTAAACGTTTGGAAAGTTCCTCAGAATACATTGTTTTGTACTCTTGTTGGATGTAGGCACGCTGTGTAGCATCACGATGAGCAAGAAGATTGATAACAGCACTGGTATCACAACCCAATCCTGTGAAAACAGCACAATTATAAAGAAATCACAGGTCTGAATAATTGAAAAAAATGTTCAAATTAGGGTTGAGAAAGTTCAGAGCAATATAAGAAAGAAACATTCAAGAGTGAAGACTCTCCTTCACAAGGCACATTTACATGCAAAACAAAAAGAAAACAACAACATTGGCAATCAGGGCTTGTTTCCAAACTTCAAAATTAAAACCAAAAATGCAAAAAGGTTAATACTGGGATATTATGTTAAAATTCACACTGACATGACATGAATTTCCAGAAATAGCATGTTCCCCAAAGGGAAGTTTCAAACGGAAAACTAGGTAGTTAATTAAAGGTGAGACTTTTAAGGTGTGTTTAAAAAAGCATAAGAAGAATTGAAAATTGAAGAGAAAAAGGGTACCCTTAAAAGCACGGTAAAGTTGCAGTGCATCATCTCTAGGAGAAGGAGGAACTGGGGGCACAGTCAAAGTAGCCATCTTGATTCCTGTGAGAAACTCTCAGAAGAGAAGTTGGAAAAATAGAGAAAAATGTTATGAGAAGATAACACCAATGGGGTTGAATTATTAGTCCACCATATTTAGAAAACATTAATTTCATCTTTCTTCAACATGTCCTACCCAACCACTTTCTTCTACCAAAGTAACTTATTGTTGTCTCCACTTCTTGTCTTGACCTGAAAAAAAGCCATTCCTTTATCAATTATAAGAATAATAATATTAATGACATGTTTTTATATTTATATGATGTTGAAAATCCACTAAAGATAATATTAATTTAAAGTATATAGATAAATATAAATTTTAATTTTTAAATTGATTATATAAAATTAAGTTAAACTTAAAGTTTATTTTTTAACTTTTTTTAACATGACATTAAATTCATAGAATTTCTACATCGATTAGGTATATAAATACATATATTATATAAAAAATATTGTCCTAGATTCTTATATAACCTACCATTACCCTTATAATAAATACGTTTATTTTGGCTTCTTTTGACTCAGTAAACCACTTGACTTTTCGAAGTCGATTCCTTAAGAAAAAAAATTATATTTATATGTTGTTATTTGATGAAAAAATATATTGTAAAATGCATCGAAAAGAAGTCCTATCCTCAATCTTCAGTGTGCTGTCATCACTTTCAAAAAACCATTATGACCTGCATTCATGCACGTGAAAAAGTTGCTTATATAAATTGGGTAAGAAAAATAATAAGCATTTAATTTAACAAAAGATTATAGTAAATTTGACATTAAATGCATCTTTAAATGAATTCTAGTTATATTTTATTGGCATAATACCTTATTTTGTCCCAGTTTCGCTCGAAAATGTCAAATTAGTCCATCCTTCAAAAAAAGCGTCAATTACGTCCTCACTTAATAAAATTTGCATCAATAAAATCCCTTCCGTTAAATCCGTACAAACGGCGTTAATTATTTTTCTCTTTCTTCTACTTCCTCAATTAACGCCGTTTGTACGGATTTAACGGAAGAGATTTCATTGATGCAAATTTTATTAAGTGAGGATGTAATTGACGCAATTTTTAAAGGATGGACTAATTTGACATTTTCGAGCGAAACTTTGGACAAAATAGGGTATTAAGCCTATTTTATTTAAAGGACAAATTTGTGTATAAGTCTTACTGTTATAATTCATAATTTATTTTATACCTTAAAAATAAAGGTTAAAAATAATTAAATAATAAAGTAATTTTAAGTTATTATATAATTATTTGATACATAAAAAATTAAAAAATAATTAAATAATAAATAATTTTAATGTTGTTTTTTTAATTATTTATCTATATTGCTAAAAATTAAAATAAAATTAAATGTAGAAAAACTTAAGTTAATAAAGAAAACTACGAAAATATAAAAAAAAATGATCCAGTATATCAACTATAAAATAATAAAGTGTTAAACATCTAAATTTTTTTTATAAAATAATTAATATATGAATTTGAAACCTTATTGAATATTTTTCTTTGGCTTTTCGATAATTTTTTGCAATATTTTTTTAACTTGATAAAAGAAATAGATAATATTTTAATATCTAAAATTATTAATTTTAAAGACACAAAGTGTAACATCCCAAAAATACAGTATAAAACTATATAATAGAATAATCACATATAATAATATTACAGATCAGCCTTACAAAAGATAGGACGTACGTTTATGGTCGAACGATCTTACAGAATAACGAGAAAGTTAAAACTGTACAAATAAGCAATCTAGAACAAACGGTTTACAAAAGGCCTATAACGAACGGTCATACAAAAGAAAAAGATAAAAGATGATCGAACGGTCATCGTACAATTAAACTGACTACTGACCGAACGGTTCTACTGTTCGGTCTTAACTTCTATCTCGACCAAACTTTCTTCTTCTAGCGCTTTTTCCAGCAGCTCTTCTCCTTCTGCTCACATCCACACGGATGATCATTGCGATAGGATAATAACCGAACATACAAAACGGATAAGACAGAAAAATAGGGTAAGCTTATGTAATTTAATTCATGTATCAGCATATATTTCACACAATCAATTAAACCCGATAAAATCATTAACTCTTTCATGCAAAGCCTAATACTAGACTCTAATTGTCCGGACTGTATGAATTCTGTGTAGTTACGACGTTCGTGCACCCGGGTGATGTAGTAACTGGGATACCCTCAACAGCTGCCACCCGAGGTTAGTCCTATCTGTCCAAATTAACCATAAGGACTAGGACCTCCTGTCGTTCCCACACATGACTTACCCTTCTCAACGTGAGAAACGAGTAATCACGGAATATTAGGATGAACTGTCAGCTTAGCTTTATCCACATTCATACTTTACCAATTTCCAATATCCATTCATGAGATATTCCTCCCCGGAATACTCTTTCATAATCAAAGTCATTTCATCCATATCATATTCCATCATCTTTCATCATTAAAACTTCAACTTAACCAATTTGAATAAAGATCCCATAGGATACCAAATACTGAATGTTAGTTTTTAACCCAGAACGAGACTGAAAACTTGGAGTGAGACCGAGATGTCTCCAACTCAAAACTAATCAAATCGAGAGAGTTACTCACTTGTTGTGAAAGGGACCGAATACAATAATACTTCTCAGAGACCAATAGAATCGAACGTTATTTTCCAAGTGAGCCAATTTAATTAACTGACTCTTGAGATTTCAAACCAAACATCGCAAAGCCTAGGCTGAGTACTAAGACTCTAGGCCGAAACCAATTAAGACAGATATTGTAGGACATCAAATAATAGCACTTGACGGAATCATATGAAGAAACCGAACGCCAATAAATACTTAGCTTCTTAATGAGTTAAACATCAGGGAAACCGAATGTAAGTCGAAGACCGGGCACTGTAGAGAGCGAACGCTATTGAGTTTGGACGAACGCTCTTATTATAAAGATAGATTATGGAAATGAGAACTAGCGCCTGGTGTAAGACCGAGCACTTACTTAGTACGAGCACTTGGTGTAAGACCGAACACTACTTAGTACGAGCGCTTGGTGTAAGACCGAGCACTACTTAATTTATAGAATAAAGGCTTGATAAATATAAGATATCATTTAACTAATGTTCAAGAACGAACGAAATATACAAATACATATAGATATATTGAAGTTTATAATCAAATACCAAGGAATGAATATCCTTGGTTGAACGCTTAAGTACAAATATTACAAAACGAAGCGAAGACGCTAGTCTTCAACTAGAACTCTCTCCAAATGAAAGAATCCAGTTCCAACCGAGTCCACAAGAAAACCGAACACTATATCGAACGAGCGCTGGTTTAATACTAAACACTTATTAAGAACGAACGCTTGTATAATTGAATGGTCAATACTGACTCTCGACAACATGGTCTAATACCAAACACTTATTAAGAACGAACGCTACTGAGGACGAACGCTTGTATAATTGAATGATCAATATTGATTCTCGACAACAGGGTCTAATACCAAACACTTATTAAGAACGAACGCTACTGAGAACGAACGCTTGTATAATTGAATGGTCAATACTGACTCTCGACAACATGGTCTAATACCAAACACTTATTAAGAACGAACGCTACTGAGGACGAACGCTTGTATAATTGAATGATCAATATTGATTCTCGACAACAGGGTCTAATACCAAACACTTATTAAGAACGAACGCTACTGAGAACGAATGCTTGTATAATTGAATGGTCAATATTGTCTCTAGACAACATGGTCTAATACCAAACACTTATTAAGAACGAACGCTACTGAGAACGAACGCTTGTATAATTGAATGGTCAATACTGACTCTCGACAACATCCCTACCCATTTCATGGCTTTCATTAATCATCAATGCTTTTAAACAACATACCATATTTCATCATCAACCAAATCATCAAACACAATATCATTCCAGTTTCTCATCTCTTAGATTCATATACTCATACAACCAACAATGCAGTAACAACCATATTTCATATTCATTCAGCAATCAACGAACATGCATCCATTCAAAGCAACAAAATAAATCAAATTATATAAGCTTCCCTTACCTCTTAACGTGTCCGAACGCTCACAGATATGGTTATTGGTTCACCTCTACCAATCATTCTACCCTCAACGCTCGACAACTTTCGAAACTAAATCAAGTAAAGATCACAACACTATCAGAATCACTCTTTTTAGAAGAGTGATCAACACATGAAACCAGAACTTGGGTTACATGTCCAGGAAACCACACGGCTGAGGGAGAGATGAACTTACCAGCTCGAAATCGAAAACTGATCGGTTCAAACGAACACCCTCGACGTCGAGAATGCTCAGGTGTGGTCTGTTTGATGATCGAAGGAAGAAAAGAGTAAGATTTCGTAGAGAGAAGATGAAGAAATCTTAGAGAGAAGGAGGAGAAGAATGGAGTTTCAGAAGGTTGAAGAAGATGGTTGCATGAAGAGAGTTGCGTGAATTTTTGAAAACTTAGAGTTTTACTCCTACCGTCAAAACCGAACGGCCACTCCACTACTCACACCTGTCTTCCACTTTCTGTTTTCCAGCTCCTCTTCCTCGACACTTGTCTTCCACTCCATGGGGTTTTGGGTAGATTTTTAATGGGTTTGACACAAAGTTAACCATGATCATTTTATTTTTTTTAGAAGTGAACTATAAATTATTTATTGTGAAATTTTCTCAAAACAACCTTTGTAAAATTTCTGAAACATGACTTTTGGAACATAATTATCGAAATAAGTTTTCTTGAACAAATGAAATGTATTTCAAAACAAAATTTTTAGAATAGTTTTTTTTTTACATATATAATATTTTCTGAACAAATTTTCCATAACATACAAAATATGTTTTAAAACGAACTATTTAAAATACAATTTCAAGAACAATCTTTCTAAAACATAAATAATAACTTATGGAACGTGCTTTCTTGAATAAGCTCTCTTTCTCTTCTTCTTCATCTCAAAGAATGCAATAAAGAATGGAAGTCTAGAAATAGAGATTGTAGCAGCAGAAACGGTGACATGGTTCACTGAAAGAGGGTATTTTTAATATTTTTATTTCAATTAATAGAAGTGTACCTTTAGTAATAATGGAGGTGTAGAAAGAAAAATCCATATTCAAAATGGACTCACAACCCCGAAATAGGCCCAAATGGATTGTATTACTTGAATTCAAGACCAGTGGCCTATTACTTAAATTTGTTACCATTAAACGGAGTTTAGATAGTTAAATGAAATATTATCTTATGTTATATACTCAATGAGATTTCATCACTTTATAGTATTGTTATTTATTTTCCACTATGTGAAGTAGCAGTGAATAAAACTCTATTTATCACGTCATAAATACTCTTAATTAATGAGGATAATATGTTACATTACAAAAACAAAATAGATATATATCTAATTTAGAAACCGAAATATAATTTTTTTTTTAAATTAAAAAAACGTATTCAATCATTGTTTAAAAATCTAAAATATACTAAAATAGAAAAACTTACATTACATTTAATACAATAAGCTATATATTTAAATTTTCTTAAAATTGAAATGTGAAATACATTTTACACAACAATAAATAAAATGTATATTTAATGAAAAATTTCATTTAAGTGTAATTTATTTTATATTTAATTTTATCTTGTTTGTATCTGGATAACATTATAGATTTTAGTGATAACCAAATCTCCTATACCATTGAACTTATAAGTTTCAAACCAATAAAAAGAAAATTTATTTCCTTACAAAACGTAATTAAATAAAATAAAATTTGTAAAGCATAAAACAACCAATTTTTTTTACTAAATACAAAATTAAAAGCAAAAGATATTTGAACTTAATCTTGTTTTCAACATTACCTTATCTCCCATGATTCTGTCCGTTGTCTGTAGTCCTCGCAGTGATACAAAAATGAAAAAAACCTTTCTTTTTCACAGAAACTAACTCGGACCTAAGAAGATGAAGACTTTCTCCTCAATTCAACTACCCCACCATTTTTATTGTGCAAGATTCTTCTCCTACACAACCACAAGGTAGCTTTTTCCTCACTCTTTTCATGCACTTCACACTATAAAGGAATTTTCTTGCATGCCCAGTGCCAATTTGTTTCTTTTTCTGCCAAAGCCCCAAGAGGGGATCAAGAGGGAGAAGAGGAAATTCAGGGGAATGAGTTTGTGGGTGTGTGTTTGCGTTTGTGTATGTTGAATAGTAGAAGATGGGGTATCTGGGTCTATGGAAAACTTTTGCCATAAGCCAATATAAGAAATTCTGAATACGTGTTTAATAATTTTTTGTAAGAGTTTATTCACTAGGTTGGTTACTTAAGCTAAAATGAAGAGTAATGTTATACCTTCTCTTACAATTCCTCTTTCAAATATTCCTCATACTTTGCAGGGAAGTGTTAAATGAAATAAAAGGGTATTTCATACCCTAGGAAATTAAAAAATAGAGTAGCTTACATTGATATCTCTTGTGTTTTAAAAAAAATTGACTATATATTCCTCCCTTTTTTAACTTTTGAGTATACTCCTTACATGGATGCAAGATGCAATGTGTTTCTTGAGTATCAGAGAGTGTAAGGGTAATATATTCGAAACAGTTAAGGGACTCACTGTGGGAGAAAAAAAAATTATGGGCGTGTCTTGTGAATTTTTAAAAAGAAAAAAAAAGGTAGTAGTATCAATGTAATTTGCTCTGAAAAACATTATATACTTTTGATAATCAGGAAGAGGAGGATATAAGAGGATTTAAAACTATTTTAATAAGGACTTATGATAACAATTTTCCTGTGAAATCTTCTCAAAATAAGTCATATGTAGAGTCATTTTTATTAGCCCTTAGGTCCAAAGAGCTTGTTTATATTGTAGATGACTTATCTTATGAGATAATCTCTGCATGTGTTTAAGAGAACTTAGAATAGCTTATAAGATGTCCATATGCTTTTTTCGGTAAGTTCTCTAGTGTAAGTTAGGAAAGCAACTTATAACTATATGAAAACACTCAAATCCTATTCTTTATTTGATTATAAAAACAGCTTAAACATAAACACTATATACTAAGAACTTATGCAGTGGGTGCTTAATTAAGTTGTTTACTCAAACTCACCATAAATAGCCTTGGCCAGCACCCAAATATATTCTTGCTTTTATTTTCTTTTTGGTCTATCTTACTCTCTATTAGTAGATGCATGCAAGGATTTTCATTCTCTTGTATATGTTTTTTTCTTCCTCTTTATGAAATTACATGAACTTTTTTTCACTTATGAATATTTTACATCAGGACTCAACTTTCTTTTCCTGCAAAGGTCTTCATTTGCCAGGCAAAATCAGGTTAGAATTTTCTTTTTTATGTTTTACTTTTAGATGTTGAGATTGGCACAAGGTTTATGTAACATTCTAAGAAGCATAGACCATTCATGGTGGTGCTCTTTCCTCAGGTATAGATGGGTCATTGAATTTAAAAGTGGTGTCTCCCACTCTGTTAGTAGCAGAAAAGGAAGAAGCCAAGGCTGTATTGGCCTTGTTCTTGAAGAAGCAAGGTTTGAGCAATGCGGTTGCTGCTAGAACCATCAACAAGTCAGATCTTTTTATTGATCACCTTGTCTCAAAGCTTCATTCTAAACACAGATCTTGGTATCTTGCAGGTTCTGTCACCAAAATTACTCTATTTCATTTCATAATTTTCTTCTGTGTTGAATACTGCTAATCACTGTTTTATTGTCACAAACAGGAAGAGAGCTTACAACTTTGGAGATCAGGGATGCTCTTATCCCTTATCTTGAATCTCTGTTTGAAGAGCATGGTGACATTCTAGTGGATGTCGTGGAAAACTATCCAAACCCACCTGTTAAGGACAAATCTGCAGTGCCAGTTCCTCCTTCTAGTCCAGTCTTAGACTCTAAGAAGCTTAAAGCTGTGTCACTAGTGAGTGAGACAGACCCAGATGGTGGCAATCTGCGCCCTCATATTGTCTATCTCATGGAACTTGGTATGGATATTGAGCAGATTCGGAGTATCACACATCGATTCCCAGCTTTTGCCTACTATAGCTTGGAGGGTAAAGTTAAGCCAGTGGTTGAGTTTTTTCTTGAACTTGGGGTTCCAAGAGAGCACATTCCCATTATCCTCAGTAAAAGGCCACAGTTATGTGGTTTCAGTCTATCTGAAAATCTTAAACCCACCATGAAGTTCTTAGAGTCATTGGGTATTGACAAGAAGCAATGGCCAAAGCTGATCTATCGCTTCCCAGCCCTGCTAACTTATAGCAGGCAGAAAGTGATGGAAAGCATAGATTTCCTTCTTGAATTGGGCCTATCTGAAGAGAATATAGGTAAGATTTTAACTCGTTGCCCCAATATCGTTAGTTATAGTGTAGAGGACAATCTCCGACCCACAGCAAAGTACTTCCATTCTTTGGGGGCTGATGTTGGCATTCTTCTATTCAGATGCCCACAGAATTTTGGACTTAGCATTGAGGCCAACCTGAAACCTATAACAGCATTTTTCTTGGAGAGGGGATACACTTTGGAAGAAATTGGTACCATGATTTCAAGATATGGAGCCTTGTATACTTTTAGCTTGACTGAAAATTTGATTCCAAAATGGGATTTCTTTTTGACCACAGGATACCCAAACTCTGAGCTGGTTAAGTTTCCTCAGTATTTTGGATACAGTTTAGAGAAAAGGATTAAACCTAGATTTGCAATCATGAAGAAATCTGGGGTAAAGTTACTGCTGAACCAGGTTCTTTCTCTGTCAAGCAACAACTTTGACAAGGCCTTGAAAAAGAAAATGAAAAAAATGCAAGATGGTTAGGATTTTAGTTACAACAGCAAAGTTCCTCAATCCATCAGAAAAAGAAAATTGAGACTTTCAGGTAATGTTACAGGTTAGAAGCTACTGAACTTCACGGTTGTTTTGTTTTTGGAGGGATCAATGAAGTCAAAAGTTGCAGTTATACTGGAACATTATTAGTCAATAGCTAGGTCCTGAAACCAAACTCTGGTAACATCCATATTTGAAACCTTTCTTGGACGCCACAGGTGCCATTATTTGTTATTGTTAGATGTCCCTTGAAACTAGTACTGTCAACAATATGAGAAGTGCTTCTGCAATGAGTTGTCCGACAAAATCACTATCAGATAAATTCAGTTGCAGTTTTGGTGCTGCAGCATGTGTAACGGTGGATTTTTCATTGGAGTTTGGTTTATAGCAGATCATTTGCATGAATAGCCTTTTCATTGGTTAAATTATTGTAATTATATCGATTTACAGTACTCCTATGGATTTGTCTCGTAACAAATTAATGAATAATTTTCTCATTTGTTCGAAGTTAAGGTCATGATGACTCAAATCTTAGTGATTCCAATTTGTCTCCGAAATCTGGTTGTGTGGGTGTGTTGAATAATTCCAATGGAGAAAAAAAGACCTAATGTTGAGAGAACCTAAGCAATTGGAATAATGGGATGAAACACATTGATTTAACTTGAGTCATGGTTTTCTTTTTATGGTCAAAAAGTTCCTTTGTGCATTCAAGTATTTTGAAATTGTTTATTTGACTTCCTCAACCCTTTTTAGTAGTGATTTTCCTTGATAATATATGTATATCTGTGTGTGAGAGATAGAGTTTCCATCCATTAAAAGTATATGCAAATCTAAGGACTTACATCAAATCTTAATCGTTAGTTTTATGAAATCTATTAGTTCAGTTAATTTTACTTAAGTGAGTCAGTAAGGTGGTGTTTTCTTTCTTGTTGCATGGTTTTCTTTTTACCTTAAAACTTTTTCTCCACACATTTTCAAATGAACTGATATGAATCATTAGATTTGGTAAAATTGTCCATTGAAAGTTGGTGTGAGTTATTTTGGACTTACATTTAGTGTAAAGAATCTTATCTTTTTTTAGTTATGTTTTTTGAAAATCAAGCATCCAACAACATAGTTTATTCATCACATGTTTTTATTATTTATCCTATAATAAATATCTAAGATCCGAAGTGTCTGTATATATTCATCAGCGATGACTACAGCTAATCCGTTAGTAACAATCCATTGGCTCCTCAATTTAAGGAAAGTTTGTTAGTACGTCATGTCATTTTCTTGACTGCTTCAACTTAATCTAACCTTAAAACTTTCTGAAACACACGTGTAGTGCTTCAACCTCAATCTCTTCTATCCTTTTATGATACTCTGAAAATGGATGGAATGTACTATTAACTTTCTGTTTATAGACATGTGTTGTAAACATAAACTGTGATTAATATACAATTATCAACCACTTTAGATAGAATATTTTTTGTATGATTTTTAAAATAGTTATACAAGTTAATAAGCTTTCACACATAACATTTTGTTACTGTAGACATATATATCTACGCTGCATGTATTTGTTATTGCATTGTTCATCATCTTTATACATACATATATATATACATATATATATATATACATATATATATATATATACATATATATATATATACATATAGACATATATATATATATGTATATATATATGTCTATATATATGTCTATATGTATATATATATATATATATGCCATATCATCATGGCCATCCGGTTGATCATCCCGTTTTATAGGTGCTATTTTTATCATTTGCAATATCTCTGAATGTTCTCATAACAAGCAAAACCTCCCCTTCATTTCTCTTTTTTTTCTTCTTCATCTTCTTCTTTATTCTTTCATTTTTTTCAACATTTTCCGCGAGAAAAGAAGGAAAAAAAAAACGTGAGAAGATAGAGGAGTCATTAACAGCAAAAGTGTGCGTGGATTTGGAACAAAATGGCGAGAGAGGCTTTCATTTTGAAGGAAAGCGCCTTGTTATCTCTCAGAGCATTGAAGAGCTTGATGACGTTGATATGTGCGGCTGCTATGCTGATGCTGCTGCCATTCAGAGGGTCGAGGAGGGTGTCTCCGGCCGAGAAGCCTAGCAGCAAGGAGGAATGCCACCACCGGAAAGGCACAATGGTGCGCATACCGGCGAAGATGATGTCAAGGAAAAGTAGTGTTGGTGTGGTGGTGGCAAGGAGGGAATTGGCCATAAGGAGGGTGGTGGAGGATGATGATCAAAGGTGTGTGAGGGAGTATTGGATTTTGGGAACCAAAAGGGGTGACACCATTTTCACACAATGTTGGACACCAATTTATCACAAGATAAGGTAGATATCAAGAGATTTTAATACTCATTGCATCAAGAAAAGTTTAAAAGTTCATTCGGATTACAGATAATTATTTGATATACTTGTCAATCTAAATGATAGCCTCATAATCATAACCATAATGTTGATTTTGCATCTGGAGTATTGTTAACATTTCATTTCCTGAAAACAAGGTACTCAAGTTTAGTATAACATGCACAGTTTCTACTACAAACGTTTTTGCTTTCTGTTTTTAAGGAAAGGTTATGCATTTATTCCTTCAGATTATTCCCCACACCCCTTTCTGACAGAAATTGGACATCTAAAATAGGTTATACCTACTTTGTGCAGGGGAGTCGTTCTTCTTCTGCATGGTCTAAATGAACACAGGTTAGTTATTCATTATGTAAGGGTAATAATGTTCTTTCTGACACCCCCTTATGGGGTGAGTTGGGTGGAAGAAGGAGAGAGATAGAAAGGAAACAAAAAGAGAGAGTGAGATATTTATTTCTAGTTCTGAAGCCTTTCAGATTTTACATTACTTTTTTGTTTTCCTGAAGCCATTCCCATTATTCTCTGACAGTAGCAGATATAGTGATTTTGCAAAGCAGCTGAATGCTAATGGTTACAAAGTTTATGGAATGGATTGGAGTGGTAAGTATGAAACTAATTCTAATTTATGAGCATGCATGAAATGTGGAGGAATTGATAGTAATTCATGTTCTCGTCTGTGTATAACTGGCATAAGGATGATGGAACAAATTTTTTGACAGACTTTATATTCTGTTTCGTCTTATACATTATTATTTGGTATAAGGAGGATTCACCGATTTCTGCAGTTTCTACAAAAACAATTCAGTTATTGCTGTAGTGAAACTGTGAAGAAAATTTCTTGTAACAAATTTATGTCATTCTTGATATTTATATTATACCATTGGATTATAGAAGACATGTCTTCAACATGTCTTCTTTTTATTTAATACTTTAGCTGTCACCATTCTTCTTCAACATGCATGTATGTTTGGATGTTGCAGGGCTAAGTTATTTGGATGCATTTTTGTGCGATAAAGTAACATGTGAAGCTCCTGTTTATGAGTAAGCTTATTATCTGTCCGTGTTGCGTCTGGCCTTTTTAAGAATGTAATAGCTCAAACATTAAGTCAGAGTCTGAAATTAAATCACTGAATTCTTCCATGGATAGGTGTTTTTTTTCCCTTAATTTTCTTTTATTCAGATTTTGGTTGTTCATTTGAGGTACTTGTGGTCATTTTCATAAGCATGTGCATTACATCTTATATTATCAACTGCAGTTCTTTTTACCTCCAGGAATTGAATTAGATTAGGATCTGACTATAAATTAAGACTAATTACTTGCTTAAATCTTTTACTTGTTCAGTTTTTCACTGAGTTAAGTTTCCTATTGATATATCATGAAAACTTGAATTCTTTATTCTATAATCTAGTAGATTGTGTTCTACTCATATGTCTCTTTCATTTCTAATATCAGCTCAAAACCTGATTTTTTTTTCTGTTAATTCTTACACTTGTGTAGGACATGGTGGAAGTGATGGGCTACATGCATATGTCCATTCTCTTGATGATGCTGTTTCTGATATGGTATGTTGTAGAAACTATAACTATTTTGTAGGATATTGCCTGAATAAAAGAGGCTGTGGTGTATGCATTGAGTTTGAATAAATTAAGTAAGTTCTGATATACACCATTTTCTATGAACAGAAAGTATTTGTTGAGAAGATTCTCAATGAAAATCATGGGCTTCCATGTTTCTGCTATGGACACTCAACAGGTGCAGCCATTATTCTGAAGGTGGGGCTTCCATAAAGAGCTTAATTTCTGTGGTTTTCACACTGTCATCAAATATTAAATCATGTTACAAGTGATTTATAAGATAATTATTGTTAAAGTCAATGAAAGTAAAGTACTATGCATGATAATTTCTCATTGGTTATCAATGTAAAACCCTTTTACACTAATCAGTTTCACATAATATTGTATTAAATGATTCATGAAGCTTACTCTAGGAGAAAATTGATTCATCTTTTCACTGCTATATTATATATATATATATTGTAGGCACTGCTTGATCCAAAGGTTGAAGCCAGCATAGTTGGTGCTACATTCACCTCACCAGCAGTTGGAGTGGAGCCTTCTCATCCAATTTTCGTGGTTAGAACACCCTGCTTGTTGCATCCAAATTATCTGATCATAATACATACATACATAAATAAATAAATACATTCTGACATGTTCATTCACATCAGAATATGTACAGTTTAATGGTCATGCATTGACAGTATAAAACAGTTTACCATCATCAACTAACAAGAAATATCCATTGATATGACTTTTGAGTGAGGTTTTCTAAGGGGAGACACCACGAGATTTGACATCAATGAGTTCTGAACATGTTTATATAAGAGATCAAGACAACACTTCTAACAAAATTCTTAATACAATGAGTTTACGAGTCTTTTTACTTATATACTAGTCATCTTCATACTCATTTTAACTCAATGTTGGACTTCATCTCACCCTGAATGAATTCCTAACATTGTGTAGATTGTAAAAGTCAACAAACTGCCATAGATGATGGTTTGTGATCAGATAACAATGTAATTGTTCTACACTGTCAATGCATAACATATTTTCTCTATAGAAAACATGGCATGCTTGCACATACATGATTGGATAGAACCAGTCTTCATCTCTATGTTTTCTTGATGAAAGGCACTTGCACCTATACTTGCATTTTTGCTGCCAACATATCAATGCAATTCTGCATATAAGAAGGGAATACCGGTCTGTAGAGATCCAGAAGCTCTGCATGCAAAATATTCAGACCCTCTAGTATGTACTGGATCTCTGAGAATACGTACAGGCTATGAAATTCTTCGAATTACAACGTACTTGCAACAAAATGTCAGAAAACTTAGAGTTCCATTTCAAGTTCTCCACGGCACTGCTGATTCTGTTACTGATCCTGATGCTTCTCGAAAACTGTATGAACAGGCATCCTCAACAGACAAAACTATCAAACTGTATGAAGGATTCTCACATGACCTCCTCTTTGAACCTGAACGAGAGGACATCACAAGGGACATAATTCAATGGTTGAATAGTAGAATATGAAATGAGTTAGAGCAATAAGGAAAC